TATGTATGGCGATGAAGAGACTAAAAAAAATAAAATTACATTATCTGCCATTTATAAATGGATTCAGGACAATTTTATGTACTACAAAGTAGCTGAGCCCAGCTGGCAGGTATGTGTTTTTTTCAGTTACATTTGTTGAGATATTACATTTGTGTATCCACCTACTGAACCATAACCTAAATTCCATGTATCACTTATTACCATATTATTTATCATACAATATTGTTATCATTTAGATATTTATTTAGATTTAGTAACCATTTAAAAAAAAAAAAAATCTGGAATACAACACAGTCTTGCCTGTCAACCCTATATATTAAAATCAAAGACCGACATAGCATTGTGACGGGTTAGCTTAACTCCCAGGGCTACTAGAATTGCAACATGTGACCAACATAAGGAGGATCAATTTATGACAATGGTCACATAACTAATGCGATAAATCTGTGCTGGGGGTAAATCTGATGTGATTCTTTAAAATCAATACCAGGAACAATCACAGAAATTTAGATAAATTGAACAATAGGTGCATAATGCTGTATTTATTTAACTGCCAAAATAAATAAATAAATCACAAATATCTGCATACTTGAAATATTCCGGTTAAACTGGCTGGCAATTACTAGTGCAGAGTGTGAGTGGACTTAGAACAAAGAAGTTAACACAAAACAATTGTTGCTACATCCAATAGTGCATAGATTACCATTCTTGCCATAAAGTCTCAGGGTATAGGCTGTAATAATTGTGTGCAATGGCCTTCATCAGAATATTGTTCATAAGGTATATCACCTGAGCTTATTTATCATCTGGTAGAGGCCATTTAAATGAGGTCAAATTGACACTTTTTATATAAAATTATAATTATTTCCTGTAGCTATATTTTAAGCTTACAAGTGACATAAATAAATCAGTAACAGCATTTTGTAGATTTTTAACTTACCTTATTGTTAAGTGGTCCTTTTTAGCTTTGTAATAAAGCAAGGTTTTATATGAGAACAGAATTGTGTGGATTAAGGTCAGGTAACAATGTCAATGACATCAGTACAGTCAACAATGTCAGAATGGTGACGGGTAAAAAAAAAAAGTAACGTTCTTTATGTCTGCCAGACATTAAGCTTTCCATGTTTACAGAATGAAATGACATTTTCTGTATGATAATAACCACACAGAAATTAGCTTTTTTTTAGACTTGTTAAATTATTCAGTAAATTATTATGTTTTATTATTCTGGTGAAAATAAGGTCTGGTTTAACCTTTAACGACCATAGACTACAATAGTCAAGTTAATTTTTAACAGTGAAGCTACTGGCTTTTAGTATCACAATAAAAAACGTAATATACGAGTCCTTGAATTATATTACCTACATGTAATTTAGAATATTAAACTATATTTATATAGTTCTTTTAATTCATTTTGTATCCACCGCAGTCAAAATTCTTACAATTCCTAGTATAATTTAATGTATTCATAATTATGGGAAAAAATATTGATTTTATTCACTGCGGCACAAAACCCCATTGGCACACAAGACACAGTGTTACATGTTAGATTTCTACAATGCTTGAGGATGACCTCAAAAGCTTTCTTCAAATAATAAAATATTCCCATTTTAGAAATTCATTAGCATAGATAATCTTTCTGTTAGATAGATACACTTATTTCTTCATAATTTGTACATGTTGACCATATACCAATCAAATAAAGCTAGCATGAGAATCATGAATAATTCTTTTGTTTTTTTTGCCTTCAATTATGTAATTAAACAGACCACCTGTTAATTAGTTTATAGCACCATACTTTTTGTATTCAAATAAAATGAATAAAAGGACAACACAGCTATGATGGGCAAAGCATTACAAAAAATAAAATGGTATGAAATAATAATGATAGCATAATATTTATTCAATACATAAAGATAAAATGTGATTGGGTTGAATTTAAGTAAGGAACACATTACAAATGATAAGAAATATGTTAATACATAGAACAAAATATATTAGTGAGAGTACTGGGTTGTGTTAGTAATGTTTTTTTGGAGCAGAATCAAATTATCATGGTGAATAATAGCTTGATTGAAGACAATCTGTTGGCATTATGTGGGATGATATGCAAATCCATTTCTAGTAACAATATATCTTGTGCCTGAAATGCGGACATAGTAGCTATACTGTAAGGATCAAATTCCCTGAGGATATACGCAATAATAAAATTGTTTTAACAGTCTAGTGATCCTCAGTTGTTACTAGTCTTTAATCTATTTGTAAAGTTGACGTTTTTGTAACTGATACCCGTTTGCTTAAAAGTATTGGATATCTATGTCAGAAATACAAAATTACTGTTTTTAATATTATGAGATTTGACCTTCAAAACATTCACAAGGTCAAATGAAACCATATCGGCATGGCGAAGGGTTTAGGCTCTAGATGTTTGTTGTAAACAGAATGAAATCAGCATGTACTGTATTTCAGTGAAATGAACACGCAATCAGGTGGCACATTTTGTTCTGTTGTCTTTTCAACTCTCCACGTACACACACACACGCACACACAGCACAGTACAGTACAGTACAGCAGCATTGTACATACCGGTACTCCTAAATTTCATTAATTGTATTAAACTGTCATTTAAATTAAACTTAAGCAATTTTGAATTTTGAATAATTTATAAATAAATATTGCATTTATGGTA